CTACAGTGTTTTCTGTTCTGAACCTATGGGCTTGGCCCTATCCTCAGGATGGTAATTCCCCAGAATAGGACAACTGAACCAACCCTCTCCCAATACAAAGAGAAAACACATCTGTGATAAAACTCCATATAGGATTGGTGTGTTGGTGCTTAGTGCAAGAGCCTGATCTAAATCAATGGCCTCTGGAAAAATTTTAGTTATCAAAGTTTAAACTTGTTCTACAGGGCCAGCCAAGTTTCAGTTAGATCAAGAAAGGGAAGAGAACTTTCAAAATACTAGTGGAGATAATAAGGGATTTTGCTCATGAAAGATGGTGAACTGGAGAAGATGAAGAGGTTAGACAATTGGGTGCAATTAGGTATTTGACAAAGGTGTAAGAGGATAAGCATCCATCAGATCATGGTAAGTCATAAAGGAAATGGGGGTGTGAGGTATAATGGGATTGATCCTAGAAGTCTCTTTTGTGAAAGGGGGGATAATCAAACAAAAGTTTTAAATAATTTAACTATTCAGCATGCAGGACAAGGTATGGGCCCTCCTTAGTAGCAGTTTGAGAGGCAATTCCCTGAGCAGTGGTGGCTTCCCAGGAAGATCAAAGTGGTAATGTCAGGGCAGCTGGCAATGTGCCATCAGGCAGTCCTTGGGGTGGCTATAAGGATTGCATGGTGGCAGTTAGCATCTGGCCCAAGAACTTGGTGTCTCTCTCTTTTTTTTTTAATTTTTATTATTGGTTGTTCAAAACATTACATAATTCTTGACATATCATATTTCATACATTTGATTCAAGTGGGTTATGAACTCCCATTTTTACCCCGTATACAGATTGCAGAATCACATCGGTTACACATCCACTGTTTTCCATATTGCCATACTCGTGTCTGTTGTGTACTGCTGCCTTTCCTATTCTCTACTATCCCCCCTCCCCTCCTCTCCCCTCCCATCTTCTCTCTCTACCCCATCTACTGTAATTCATTTCTCCCCTTTGTTTTTTTTCCCTTTCCCCTCACTTCCTCTTATATGTAATTTTGTATAACAATGAGGGTCTCCCTTCCATTTCCATTGGTGTCTCTCTTAATGCTGGGGCATGACTCACTGGAGCAGATAGCAGGCCTTCCTAGCAGCTCAGTGTGGTGCCATCTCATGGACTGTATTTTTTCCAACTTGTGTTCTGATTTGTGCATAACTTAACCTTAGGAAACAAGCATTTTCCTAAAGTTGAAAATTATTTATAATTCTATCTTATGTTGTATAATATTGCATGGTATCAAGGCATAAAAATGTGCTATTTTATGTCCTTGCTGTTGAACATATATATGTTATTTCCAAATCTTTGCAAATGTATGTTGCAATGATCACTCAGAGTCTCCCTCCCTCCCTCTCTCCCTCCCACTCTCTCCCGGTGTGTGTTTGTGTGTGTGTGTGTGTGTGTGAAAAATAAATAAATATATATATAAAATGTGTTGAATTATTATTAATGGCCAATTTCTAATATCAGAATTATTGAATTGAAATACATGAAAAATTTTGAGCCATTTCCATGAAAACACCAAAAACAAAAATGATAGATCATATATAGGACAAAATAGAATAGTCAAAACAAAATAAAGCAGACCCATCTGATACTTGACATTATTGAAATAATGATTCAATACAGAAAGAATAGTCTTTTCAACTAATGATGTTGAAACAAGTGAGCTTCCACACACAATAGAAATGAGCTGCATACTCAACTTCAAAACTTATGCAAAAATTAACACCAAATGGAATGACAGGCAAAAAATGGTACATGATAAAAGTTTTAGAACAAAAGATTCATGAATCAAGGCTAGGCAAAAAGTTTTCAAACACGACACCAAAACCACAATCCTTACTCTAATGAAAATACTGCTAAATGAAAAGACAAGTTATAACCTGGAAGAAAATACTTTCTTTTTCTTTTTTAATTGGTGCATTATAATTATACATAATCTTGGGGCTCATTGTTGCATGTTTGTATGTAACGTGTGTATGTGAGTTGGTCAATTTCATTCTCCTTCATCTCCCATTTCTCCTCCTCCTCCCTCTCCTTTCCCCTTCTTCTATTCTACTGGTCTCCCTTCTATTTTCTTGAGCTCTCTCTCTCTCTCTCTCTCTCTCTCTCT